GTGTCTGGATGATGTCCACCCGTTGAAATACAAGAATTATAAACAACATGGAAGTTGGATTTCAGCATTAATTTCTTTGTGTGAACTTCTGCAGCATTTCACTTTGTATTGATGTCATGTGTATTGCTGTGCCCTTAGTTTCTATTCCATTATTACAGTTTGTCACTTTTTTGTTTTGCTTTGTTTTGCTCTCAAGCCACAGCTGATTTCCAAGGCAAGGGATGTTCAGAGGTGGTTTGCCATCGCCTCCCTCTTCGTAGCAACCCTGGACTTCCTTGTTAGGCTCCCATCCAAATACTAACCAGGGGCGGCCGTGCTTCGCTTCTGATATCTTTATTTATTTATTTCTAGGTGTTTACAGGAACATTCAGCATCAAAGACAAACCAGTGACAATAAACTGTCATCAGCGTGTGAGATCCGTAGGAAATAAATAAATAATCAAGTTATCAATCAGTTAACGCAGTAAAACGTCGATAACACAATTCTGATCAAAATGGCCTTTGTTCCGAGCGATAAAACGTAAAACGGTATCAGAAATGATGATAATCAAGAGAGGCAGAGCCATGCTCCCCCTAAGCTGTGGAGTCTTGTGAGCCAAAATTCCACTTTGTGAGCTCCTGGCATGAAAGTCGTGAGCGAGCGATTTGGCTGCTGCATCATTAGCCCCTCCTTCCTGAGCTAAGACAAAATATCTGTGAGCCGGAGGCTAAAAAACTGTGAGCTAGCTCACACTCACTCAGCTTAGAGGGAACGCTGAGGCAGAGTAAGGGGTCTTTATTCGAGGTTTGTTTCAGTATCCTTTCCATCGTGAGATAATCCCGTATGTTCTTGTACCAAGTCTTAAGAATTGGGGTCCAGGGAGATTTCCAGGAGGAGGCGATTGCAAACCTCACAGCGGCACAGAATATAGAAATCGAATCTTTCTTAACTTGGGGGATTTGGGGGTCATCCCGCAAGTTTAGCAACAGTGAGTCAGGGCATAATGGAACAGAGAGGCCTGTGGTGATAGACATTTGTCCTCGAACAGAGATCTGATGAGATCGGGCTAGCCTGGGCCATTCGGGTCGGGGCTCGTTGCTATCGGATCTCACACAATCAGACAAGCTAACCAAGGGGGACTTGCAGAGATTGTACAGGGGCTGGAAATTAACCCTCCCCCCCCCGGCACAAAAGCGATCGTCGCGTTTGTTCTTCCTTTCCTCAGACCTCCTCTCGGTCCAGGAAAGCCAAACTCATTTTGATTCACTGGCCTTCTCCGGCTGTCGCGCTGTGCTCGCTGGCCTGGCAAGACGCAGAAGTTAATTTGCCCGTCTCCCCGAGCGCAGTCGGTGCCCCAGTTAGGCAGGGAGCAGGGAAACGGAGCTTTGTAGGTCTCTGCTGCCTGCGGATGCAGTTCTGCTCCTGCAAAATGCCTGTGGAGGGTGACGGGACGGGTTCCAGTCCTTTGCGTGGTTGCAGGCTGCGTGCTTGTCAACCGGCTTAAACTACGTTAACTCTGCAAGGCAAGCCAACGTTGAAAAACTCATCTCGAGGGAATAGTCAGAGGGAGTGGGAGAAGGAAGGTTTTGCTTGTATTTCGGTGCTGCGTGCTGAAGGATACCCTCACCTACACCCTAAGACTATTTTGAGATATAAGAACATAAGAGAAGCCAATGTTGGATCAGGCCAATGGCCCATCCAGTCCAAAACTCTGTCACACAGTAGCCAAAAATACCAGGGCCCATCAGGAGGCCCATCAGTGGGGCCAGTACACTCGAAGCCCTCCCCCCAGCACCAAGAAGACAGAGCATCCCTTGCCGCAGTCTGAGAGTTCCTATCTACACCTTGTGGCTAATAGCCACGGATGGACTTTTGCACCAGGATACACCAGGACTCAGGCCTCTATCCAGGAATTTGTGACTTGTGGGGCAATTTCTTTGCTAGTGGGGCTGCCATTATTTGCCATAATGAAGGGGGTGGCGTGCGCCCCTCTCCCTCCCTCCTGTAAGATTTAAAGAGCCCTCCAGCTGATCGGCGGGCCATGTGCTCCCCACCAATCAGCTGGAGGGCCCTTTAAATCTTGCCGGAGGGGAAGGGGCGTGCACCATCCCTTGCTTCTTCACAAAAGAATTTAAAGGATCCCTTTAAATGCTCATGGGAAGAAAGGGGCTTTAAGAAGGGCCCCCCGGCCCTTTAAGGAAGGGGGCAGAGCCCCCCAATAGCCCCGCTGTAGCTACAGGCCAGCCAGGACTATGTGAGATAATCTCTCTTGTCTTGGGAGGTTTACTGCCTTTCCCCCCTGTACTTTCTATGCCAAAGACGGCACAAGGGAGATGGAGACCACAGACCCAGTCCAAATCTTCCCACTCTAAAGGGCATTTGGGGGACGTGACCCTCTGAAATCAGCTCCTTAGTCATGATGGCTTCTAGTCACGATGGTTATCTACTCCCTGCAAGCATCAGTTGCTGGGGAGCACGGGCGGGAGGGTGCTGTTGCCGTTACCCTGCTTGCGGGCTTCCTGGGGGGCAGCTGTTTGACCGCTGTGTGAACGGAACGCTGGCCTAGGCGGGTCTTTGATCTGATCCAGCAGGGCTCTTCTTGTGTTCTTCTGCCACCCTTACCCAGACAGCTCTGGCATCTCCTCCTGTTCTGTCCTCGGGCAGAAATCTTAGGAAGCAAATGTCAGGATTTGTAGCTCAGCCTACAATTCACAGCAAGTCTTAGGACTGGGCTGGGAAGTCTCGAGGCCAGTGCAAGGGATTGCCCCCGTCCCCACTGTAGTTTCCATTATTTAAAAAAAAACAAAATGGAAAAGAGGAAGACAAAAATAACCAGTCTTTACACTGGTTTGACATGGAGCACACGAGTGCCTTGCTAAAACGAATGGGTTGGATCCAGCAAGCTGTTTTTCACTCTGTCTTGCTCAAAGCCCCTTCTTCTGATAACCCCCATCCCACATGGCTTTTGTGGTCCCGGGATACCAAGCATGCCCTTTTTCAGTGATTAGAGCAGACCCAAGACTTCATTTTTCACCAGCGGAAAAGCTGATTGGATCCAACCCAATACTTTTTAAAAAAATCATTGTGTTTATTGGTTTTTCCATTTTATATAGTAACACAAGTTAGCCAACATGACTCCAAAGAACATATTTTAACATCAACTACAATTCATATGACAAGTTACGTTTTCTGTTCTTGTACCTTCATACCTATCCTGTTTTCTCTATCATAACTTCTTAAACTAGCCTAGTTTCCATTTATTTCTACCTTTTTATCCTCAGCCAGTTGTATATTATTCCCCATTTATCCCAAAAGCTTTCCTCTGATTTGTTTTGTAACTCTGTATTTACTCTGTCCATTCCCGCTATTTCCAACACTTTGTATTTTAATTCTTACTGCTGTTAAGTGCGCCTTGGTGTTTAGTCATGCCGGCCACATGACCACAGAAACGTCTTCGGACAGCGCTGGCTCTTCGGCTTTGAAACGGAGATGAGCACCGCAACCCTAGAGTCGGATTCGACTGGCTTTCGAGCAAGGGAACCTTTACCTTTACCTTTACCTTCATACCTATCCTATTTTCTCTATCATAGACTTCTTAAACTAGCCTAGTTTCCATTTATTTCTACCTTTTTTATCCTCAGCCAGTTGTATATTTTCCCCCATTTATCCCAAAAGCTTTCCTCCGGTCTATTTTGTAACTCTGTATTTACTCTGTCAATTTCCGCTATTTCCAACACTTTGTATTTTAATTCCTTTATAGAGGGTAAGTTATTAGACTTCCACCATTTTGCTATCATAATTCTAGCCGCTGTTAATACATATATATGGATCCAACCCCATACTTGTAAGCATTTTACAGCTGGTACTTAACAACACCTCGTAATCATAGTGCATTCGACAGAGGGATGAAGTCTGAGGACAAATGAAAGCAAATTAATACATTTCCTTGCTCTCTTCTCATTGTCGTTTTAGGTCATGGAACAAAAGGAGTGTTTGAACTTCTGTCAGGATGGCGCCGCACCAGAGAGAGCTTGCCCTTCAAAGACAGAGTTGCCGACGCCTACTCTGACGTCATGGTTTCCTACACTATGACAAGCTCTCTGTACTTCATCGCCTTCGGCATGGGCGCCAGTCCTTTCACCAACATCGAGG